GGCGTAACACCTGCGTGCCTCAGTTTACTTGAGAACGCTTTGAATCTTTTTCAGGTTAAGGTCTTCATCCTATTAAACATATAAAATAGCTGATAAAAATCAAACCAGAATAGTCTTCTTCAGGAGACAGAGTAAAAATATTTTAAGATCCAAACCTGCTTCCTTTCATTTAAGAGCAAAAATTTGCCTCAACTTCCAGTTACAAAATAAAACAGATATTAGCTATTTCCAATAAACATTTTTCCCCTCTTCCTGCCTCTTTGAGGAGTCTAGAAGATCTTTCCAGTGTTGCTGAAGAATACGTTTGGGTTTTTTTTCCTTTTTCTTTCATTTTGATTTCTAGGAAGCCCTGAAGAAAGGGGAATACGGAAATGGAAGAAAGGCGTTGGTAAAGGAAGCAAGTCACTGGATGGCATGGAAACATATGATTTGCCTTTTGGCATGAACTGTATTAAAAAATACAGGTGTTTCAGCTTCCTGCCCATCAGCCCTACCTTTGTGGGTTACACGTGGAAAGGCTTCAGGAAAAGCAATAACTGCAGGAGTTCAGATGAAGACTCAGAAGCTACAGTATAGCCTTAGTTGAAATTACATTATCTAGTTGTAGTAAAAGATGTATTTGCAGTTTCTTGCTGATTAAGAAGCATTAAAATATATGTTTTGTATATCTGCATTTAAATTCTGGAACCAGAGCTGAGACGGATTTAAAAAAAAAAAAAAAAGGCTTTCCTGTTGTGGGTGGTGGTAGCCAGATCTAGTGTCTCTGGGTCAAACTTGCAAATGCTCCTCTGTTTGATTTCCAAAAGCTATAGATACCTGCGCGCCTAAGTCTGTTTATTTTAAATGGCACTTAGGTTCCGGAAGTTATGTAGGTGCTATTGAAAAACGTTACTTTTTATGGTGATTTTATTTAAGTCATCAATGCTGGCATTTTTGGCGCATTCATTGCTGGCAATGTTAGTTACGCCAGAAAATTTGAATCCTGTGAGAAGGGGGGGAAGGAAAAAAATTTACTTCTAGTCATGTCAAATCCCATATATATTGTTCTCTACTCACTGATTTGCACATTCCATATTTTCAGCCCCCTGGAAACAAGGCTTAGTTGATACTGGCAAATCATGAGAGTATTTTTTTTGAATTACCGATAGTTCAGTCAGATGTCCAGCGTTAAGACAGACAGTTTCTGTAATAACTTTGCTGACGAAAACTATGACCGACTTCTGATAGCTTAGTGCTGTAGAAGGAACCACTCATTTCATGTCAGTTCACATTTTTAAACGTTTGCTTTTTCTGCCTGGCATTTAACCACCTCAATATAGTGTCCAGGTGCAGGTTTTCTTTAAAGGGACACATGTAGCTTGAGTTTTACAGAGATGGGAAACTCTTAACTTCCAGATGGGACCTGATAACAGTTTTTACAGTGCAATGCCTGTATCCAGCAAGACATTTCCTGAACAAAAATGGTAATTTGTTGAGCAGTTCTAAGCAATTAACATCTGTATACATGCAGCTTTCCTTGCAGGGAAAGCCCTGCGGTCAAAATGCTGCCGGCATTCGCTGGTTTGGATCTGTGCAGAATTTTCTTGATTGGATATCGAGAGCCGATGCTGCCTACGAGCGGCTTACGTTGCATTGCCTCTTTTTCTTTTCTCTTTGTGGGGCTTCTGCAAAAGCTCGTTACTGCTGCGGAGGTGGTCTTGAACAGCAGAGATACCACATTTGATGTCCTCATCCACTGGATGGTTTAACGGGTATTGGGTCCAATCAGGGCACCATTCAGATTTCCCCCCCCCAGAATAGTCGCAGCTCTGATGTTATGTGGCTGTTCATGCTCATCATGCATTCATAATTAAAAATTTTATTCATGTTTAATGTTCTTACTATTGCAAGTTAGTTTTAGACTTCAGTGTGGCCCCAAAAGCATTTTTAAGTTGTGGAGATCATCAGGAAATGTAGTGTAATGTAATTTCAAGGCCAGTATGCTCTACGGTGCTTGCGTTTTGTATTCCTGGAAAAAACATAACAGTAGATCCTGTAATTCGCTAATATATTTATCAAAGTTTGACTACTGGACAGGAGCACAGGAACTCTGTTTTCTCTGAGTCTACTTCCAGGTGAATTTGTTATTGGTTATTGAAGCATGGAAGGGTTGGGGTGGGGAGGGCAAGGAAAGAGCTTAACAGATCAGTACTGAATAGTGTAGAGTTGGAATGATTCCATTGATATCGTTCTCAGCATGCCATGGCTGTTTCCAGAAACTATTTTATACTGCTTTTTCCATAACAAAGCATGTGTTTGTTCCTGCTTCAGGGCACTTTCAGTAGTTTGCAGTCTAGGTGTCAATTGGACTGTCTCGAAAGCTGGTCGGAAGAGTTATTGTGTAGTAGACAAGGTTAGTTTGCCTGTGAAACAAGGTCATTTTCGTCATTTTTATAATTTTAAAATTTTTCTCTTCAGGTAGTGAGGTGTTAGATTTCCACATCCAGTTGCAGATAGTTTGAGTGCGGAGACCTCTACTCAAGTGGCACGAAGCTTCCAAATTTCCCAACTTTGTGTGCAACCAAAGATGTGTGGGAGACATGTGGGAGTTAAATATATATATATATATCTATAAAAGGAAAAAAAAAAGCTACCTATGTATGGTGGTTGTAATGATGTAAAATGCCAAAGGTGGTTATCTTGTAAATGTTGAGAAAGGGAGGCAAAATTTTTTTATTCAAAACAGTGCCACCTTGGAAATACAGAAATGTCAAGTCCAGTGATGCTGCTGGGCACGGAGCGTGGCAGTGACACATGTGTCCCAAGGCTTTTCTAACTTCTCCCCCTAAATATTCTCTTGACAACTTCAATGCTTATGCAATCAAGAGACGAGGCGATGAGAAATAGCATTTGTCTTCTCTCTCCTTTGGCTGAAGTAAAGCTGTGCGTGTTCTGTATTGCCTTCGCTTGGGAATTGCCAAGACACTTCAGTCAAATTACAGGGCAACGAATCCAAGGATTGTTTTTTACTCTCTCCAGAGCAGAACACCACTCCTTTCTTGCAGCGAATGAAAGACTATCCGAATAGGTGAAGTCCGATTACTCTTAACTGTTGGATTTCTTTTTGTGACTTTGAGTCCTACCGTGCCGATTCTGTTGACTGGCTGAGAGAAGTGCAGCAACGTTTAGCCAGCATGTTTGCTTTTCTAGCCACTTACCTTGGTAACACTAAAATAAGTAGTTGTAGTTAGCAGTCATTTTTGTAACCAAATTTGTATACGTAACAACTCTCTCCATCTTATTATGAACATGAATGGTTAAAGGTGAGCCTCAGTTTTGCAAAAAAGATCCGCTGAAGCACCTGTAATGTATAGCGAGGGGTTATGATGGAGTCATTGGCAGTACCTTGAAGGTATAGGGCATGCAGCTGCTGCACCCAGGATGTTGCTATTAAAGCATGCGTCTCCCCAGCGCCGAGAGGTGAGCAAAGGACGGAGCTGATGCACGGGTGCCTTGGAAAGAGAAGCTCCTCTTTCTCTTTCCGATGCACCT